GCCCCCCATGACCCTGGTGAGGATGAAGGTGTGGAGATGATGGATGGATGATGAGTTCAGTGAAGATTTAAGTCAGTAAACGTTATTGATCAATTTAACATGTAATAATCTGCACCTGTTTTGTTTTGTGTAAAAACCAACAGAACTCAAACTCTGACTTGTCATCTGTTTCTTATTCCATCTGCTGTAAACTGCGCAGCTCAATTTCGCTTTGAAGTATTTCATTATTTTTGCTCACAGCTGCAGTGTGTTGTATGGTCCATTTTTGAAATGACTGAACAATAATTAACATCGTGGCACTCAGTTTATTAAATCATGTGACTCGTGAAACAGAAAACACATTCACATGTTATTTATTCTCATTATTACACATCTTACATGTTTACAGCGACAGCAGGTCGGCATGAGCTGCACCTTATACAGCATGCTAGCAACAACTGACCAATACCTAATCAATATCTGATCAGCACAGACCGAGCAGCGCGGTTACCACGGTGACGGCCGTGATGATGAAGACGAAGACTCTTGTTCTGACAGATTCAAAAAGTCTCCCAAACTTTGATTTACTTCATTCAGTGACTAATGAAACAGAACGTCACAAATGTGAGATCAGTACCTGTCAATAAATATGTGGTAATGTTCTCATTATAATCAGTTTAGATCAATTTGTGTTCCGCTGAAAGCGCCGGGTTCTACAGAGAACGCTGCAGGTTTTCAGCCCGATCTCTCCGTTATCGAGCTGCTTGTTGCCTGGGATGAGGAACCAGCTGCAGAATTCTACGTATATAGCAATGTTCCTGAATGGTTCTGCAGGTCCGAGTTGAAGTACGTTTGACTCAGAACCAAGGCAGAGAACCAGTCTTGTAGAGAAATGTTCAGAACTCAGTGGCAGGGTTCTTCAAAGGCTCAGAACCAGTTCACACTGAATGAACAGATTTGATGGAGCAGAAGCAGACAGCAGAACACCAAATACAGAACCAGAACCTGCCAACTACATCCATAGATATATTTATATATAAAGGTCTTCATATATCTATGACTACATGGGTCTGAAAAAAGTTCTGTTATAGATCATGGAACACAGCAAACCTTGAAAACTGTGCGTTCTGACAAAAAAACTGAACCCAAAGGTTTTAAGATCAGAAAATTGTTTAAATCACAGAAATACTGTCGAGCTCGATGAGAGGTTCTATGAGTCCAAAGTGGTTCTGGTTTAGGAGGAAAACCATGTTAACAGAACGCTGCAGAACACCAGAGAGAACATTCTGTAAGCATGGTAAGATGAACTGTGGTTCCACGGCAGCTTTTGAGTTCAACGCAGAACTAAAAGCAAATGGTGCTAGAATCCCATGTGGGAGTTCTAGAGGGCGCTGTTGGGGTTCTACAGGTTCAACGGTGGATTTTTTATAGGACATAACCTCATTTTTAAAAAAATCTTTAGAAGGGTTCCTCAGAGAACCCATAGTTTTGATTGTTCCAATACAGGGGAGGTTCTAGAGTTCTACAGAGAGAACTGCTCTGTCTTCTCCAGTTCTAGCATATGAATGGCAAACGTTCTGGTCGTGTGTGAGCTAGAATGCATTTGGAACGCTTGTCTGATACAGAAGGCTGCTGTCCCAAAAGAGAGGAACCTTCTAGAACTGCTCTATAGTTCTAGAAGAGACGTGTGGTTTTGCAGTTCTTCAGTGGGCCAGAACCCTGCAGTGCAGAAAGGCTTCTACAGCAGGGAACAGTTCTGAATCAAATTTTGAATCTAGAACTCACCAATATGCCTCGAGTTTTCATTTCATGGAGGCATTTGAGTTCTAGAGGTGTTTTAAAACAGAATGGTTGGACGTTCAGGTTGGAAGTTCAGTGCAGCACATTAGAGACAGAAAGGTTCTAGGTTCTCAGGGTTCTACAACTTGTTGATGGTAGAGCTCCAGATACACCATGTTCTAAACGCGTTAGGGTTGGGTCATCGGCCGTAGAACTCAGAATCCAACAGAACATGTAGGACTTCATGGGGAGGTTTGTGGTTTTGAAAGGTTCTAAGAGGAGAGCTCCTGCTGTTGATTCAGTAGAAGGTTCTAGACCTTGTAAGTGATTGTAACTTCAGATTTGAGCTGTTTCAGAGTGATGGGTCAGTGTTTGATGTTTGAAGAACCCAGGCGTTCAGCAGAGGGTTCTAGAAAGGCATTCCTCCAGAGATCTGACGGGCCACCTGTTCCTCCTGGGTCTCCTCCCTGTCCTTCCTCTCCTGGTTCCAGTCCTTCAGACCCTCTGGCAGCGTTGTGTCCTCTTCCTCGCCTCCAGTTCCCTCCACAAACTCTTCGTACGTTGACTTCTCTGCGAATGGACGTTTTCCAAGCAGCTCCACCATGTCATTCTTATCCAGAACCTCCTTCTCCAGCAGCCGCTGCGCCACCTGGAAAACGCCACAGGAACACAAGAAACAGGGTCAGGACTCGACATGGACCATCTGTGAACAAAGATCTGAAGCCAAGCAAAGAGTCTGATTCTACAAGTCACAGTTTGTTCTAGATCAGTGTTCTCTGAGGGCTCATCTCAATCTAATTTAGTCATGAGGAACATCCACACCAGAACCTTGTTCTGAGGATTTCCAATGTGATGGAAGTTGTTCCTTAAAATCAGAGCAGTTTCTTGTTTCCAGGGTTCCTACACATTTGAAATTTCAAAATTCCATACTTTTCCAGACTTCTTGGTAAAAAAAAAAATCAAATAGTGACCTCAGTTCACTTGATGTTGTGGGACGTGGTCTCATGCCGGGTTTAGCCAGAAACGCTGTGACTCTCAGTCAGAGGATGAAGTGACGAGACGACAGTGTTTTCTCCTGCATATGACTCCCAACCGCCGCCGAGTTCACACAAAGGCTGCATTTAGCTTTCTTTATCCATTCAGGATCCTGATCCAGTCTTTATATTTGGGATTTATGAGCCAGTCATCAGAGAATTTACCCATCATGAGTTCTGTCAGCGACCATACAAGACATTTTGAAT